GGCTTGCAAGTTTTCCACCCCTGGTCCAAGGAGATTAGGGACTGAAGCAAGGTGGTGGCAGTATCAGAGGAGGGAAGGGGGCAATTTTGAGAGATGTAACAAAGGTAAAATCGAAAGATTTTGGCAACAGATTGGATATGGGATGAGAAAGTGAAAAGCTGAGGACAACACCTAGATTGTAAACCTGAGGGAGTGGGAGGATAGTTCTACCCTTAACAGTGAAAGAAAAGTCTGGAATAAGTGTGGAGGGTTTGGGGGGAACAATTATAGTTTCATTTTGGATATACTGAGTTCAAGGTGTCTACAGGACATCCAAATCAAGACGTCTAATAGGTAGGTGGAGATGTAAGCCTGGAGGTCAAAAGAAAAGTTTGGGCTTGAATAAGTAGATCTGAGAGTCATCTATATAAACATGGTAACTGACTCCATGGGAGCTGATGAGATGACCCAGTGAAATAGTATAGAGGGAGAAAAAAAAGAGGACCCAGGACAGAGCCCTGTAGGGTGGGGCTGCGGAGCAGATAGGTAGGAGGAAGGGAGGAGAGAGCAGCATCCCCAAAACCTAGAAAGAAGAAAGTATCAAGGAGAAGAGGATGATCAACAGTGTCAAAGGCTCTAGAGAAGCCAAGAAGGGCGAGGATTGAGAAATGGTCATTGGATTCAGCAATTAAGAGATCATGGTAAGTTTGGAGGGAGAAGTTTCAGCTGAATGATGAGGTCAGAAGCCAGAATGTAAAATGAGAATGAGAGGAGAAATGAAAACACCTACTCTTGCTGGCCCTTTCAAGAAGTTTAGCCACAAAAGGTGGGATGGGGGAGATGTGGGCATATCTGTAGGTAGTAGGGAAGCAGCCAGGAGACAGGAAAAGAATGCAGGTAAGTAAGAGAGTGGAGGTAATAGAGGGGGCAATATGATGGGGGGAAAAGGATGGAATGGGATCACATTTGATGTAGAGGGGTTGGTCTCGCCAAAAAGGACTACCTCATTCTGTGAGATAAGGGTGAAAGAGGAGATAGTGGCAAAAGGCATCTGGGTGATTTGAAATAAGGAGAAAGGGAGAAAAGGGAGCTTTTTTTTTTAATTTTCATATTAGTCATGTTGTAAAGAAGAATTAGAATCAATAGGAAGAACCAAGAGAAAGAAGAAACAAACAAACAAAAAAAGAGCAAATAGTATATGCTGCAATCTGCATTCAGACTCCATAGTTCTTTCTCTAGATATGGATAGCATTTTCCATCATGAGACTTTTGGAGATGTCTTAGATCCTTGCATTCCTGAGAAGGGCTAAGTCTATCCAAATTAGTCATCTCACAACTTGGCTGTTACTGTGTACAACATTCTCCTGGTTCTGCTCACTTCACTCAGCATCAGTCCATATAAGTCTTTCCAAGTTTTTCTGAAGTCTGCCTGCTCATCACTTCTTTTTTTTTTTTTGGTTAGGCAAGGGGGTTAAGTGACTTGCCCATGGTCACACAGCTAGTAAGTGTTATGTGTCTGAGGCCAGATTTGAACTCAAGCCCTCCTGAATCCGGGGCGGTATTCTATCCACTGTGCCATCTAGCTGCCCTGCTGCTCATCATTTCTTATAGCACAACTGCATTCCATTACATTCATTTACCACAACTTTGTTCAGCCATTCCCCAATTGATGGGCATCCCCTCAATTTCCAATTCTTTACCACCACAAAAAGAGCTGCTATAAATATTTTTGTACATGTGGGTCCTTTTCCCATTTTTATGATCTCTTTGGGATACAGACCTAGAAGTAGTAAGGCTGGATCAAAGAGTATGTACAGTTTTATAGCCCTTTGGGCATAGTTCCAAATTGAGGAGCTCTTCTTTTTGTCAATAAAATATGAGGTAAGGTTTGCTGAGAGGGTTGGGGGAGGAGAACCCATGGGAAGTTTGAGGAGGGATGAAAAGGTTTGGCAGACCTGCTGTGATGAATGGGATAGTGAGTTAATCACTGAAGTGTAAGGACTGCTTAGCATCAGTGAGGGCCCAACTGAGGTTATCTAACATAAATCTGAAGTGGACCCTGGCAAAACCGTTAAATGATTTCCTCCAATTCCATTCAACAGCACGTGTGTGGGGGCAAAGATACTGGATGGTAGGAATGATTCAAGGCTCAGGCCTGGTAGTGCCCAATTGGTGATATGATAAGGGAGGAAGGGACTCAAGAGAAGACAGTGTAGATTTTAAGTGGTTCACCACAAGGTCAACATGGAGAAAGGAGGATAGTGTAGCATTAAGCAGGGGTCTGGGAGAGAACTAAGGCAAGCATCTGCTCTAGAACTTAGTTTTAAGAGAGCCAGAATCAAACAGCTAATATTTGGCAGAGGCAGGACCTGATCCCAAGGCTCTCCAGCCACTATACCATACCATTCTCAAAAAATGCAATACCTGGCCCCCTTCCCTTACCTCTTTCTCCAACTCTTCACCCTTCCCTTTTTCTCCCCTTCCCTTCCCCTTCCCCATCCTTCCCTCCATCCTTTCTCCTTCTTCCCTTCTCCAGCCTAGACGATGCCGTGGTGGAGACAGCTGAGGACACCACAGAGTCCACCGAGGCAGACATCACAGGGCTGTGCCAGGACACATTCTCCAAAATGGCCATGTACCTAACAGGCGAGCTGACAGCCACCAGTGAAGACTACAAACTTCTGGAATATATGAACAAACTGACTAGCCTGAAGTATCTAGAAATGAAAGATATTGCAGTAAACATAAGTAGAAACCTAAAGGACTTAAACCAGAAATCTGCAGCACTTCAGCTTTATCTGGATCAGATCACTTTAACTGAGGAGCAAGCAGCAGCTGTTGAGCAGGCAGCTTACAAGTTGGATGCATATTCAAAGAAACTAGAAGCAAAGTACAAGTTGGAGAGGCAGTGAAAGAATTCTTTAGCACAAAGAATTTAACTACAAGAATGTTTCCTAAGAGCTAAAATAAGTGGGATGGAACTTATCACTATGCTTGGGTTCCTAAAAGGAAGCTGTGCTGCTGATCCAAGGAGAATCCCAGCCCCCACCTCTGGTTGGATGTGTAACTTTGGCCACCCCTTGGTGTTTCTTAAACCTGTAGCCCTGGAACCTCATCTTATTGTGTGCTTTATTGTGTGCCCTGGACCAAGGCTCAGAAATCAGGATCAATCCCATCTGGAGAAGACACAGAGGAGAGGCTCTCATCTCCCTGTCTCCTCCCTTCTTCCCTCTCCCCTAAGGCTCCCCCCAACCCCCTTCATAACCTGTTTTTCAGCTTAAATAATAAATGCCAACTTATGAAAAAAATGCAATGCCCCTTAAAAAAAAAGATGAATTTTCCACATAGCAATTATCCAACCAAAGAAAAGTCACTTAGTTGGAAGCCATTTGACAGGATCACTTAAAGCTACCTTAAGTTCTAATTAGTAAAACGTCAAGGAAAGAAATGTGATCCACATGATGATCAGAAGACCAGAGAATAACCACAACTTCAAGCTAACCCAACACTCTCATAAAAACCAAATACTTATAACTCTCCTAGCTACTATGAACTTCTCTTTTCCCTTCAACTGTTACAGAAATCTCACAAAGTCAACCTCCCCAAGTATGTTCACACCACCTCCCCCATTTTTCCAACTAAAGAAGGGGGGGGCAGCAGCTAGGTGGCACAATGAATAGAGCACTGGCCCTGGAGACAGGAGGACCTAAGTTTAAATCCAGCCTCAGACACTTGACTAGCTGTGTGACCCTGGGCAAGTCACTTAACCCCAAATGCCTCACACACAAAAAAGAGGGGCACAGAAAAGGGAAGTGACTTTCCCAAAGTTGCACAATGAATTATTAGTTAAACCAAAACCAAGGTCTTCTGACCTCCCGTTTGGTGTTCTTTTCACCACACCCTACTTGCCTCTCTATTCAGGGCACTACAACCATACCATCTTCTGAATCCTTTACCCTATCTTTCTTAAAAGAGTTAGTTAAGAAGTATGTCCAGTCATGTGTCAAGGCTCCTAGCACCAGATCTGAGAAGGCAGCATGTTGAATATAGTAAATAAGCATATGTTGACCCCCAAGTGTCAGTCAAAAAACATTTATTAAACACCTACTGTGTGTCAGGCACTGGCAGACACAAAGACAGGAGATACAAAGAAAGTCCAAATAAAAAGGATCCCTGTCCTCCAGAAAGGAGACAATGGGAAAGTAATAAAGGATAAATAGGAAGTTATCTTAGGGGAAGGGGGGAGGGAGGTCTGCCTGGGAGGAGAGGGAGGAGGAAGCTGGGAAAGTCTTCTGGAAGATGATGAGCTTTGAGCTGAGTCTTGAAGGAATCCAGGGATGCTAGGAGGTAGAGGAGATGAGGAAGAACATTTATAGCATTTATAGTGCTAGCTATGTGTCAGCCACCGCACTGGAAAAAGCCCTCGATGGGCAGCCAGAACGTTTGAGTTCTAGAACCAGTTCTGCCACTAATTCACTGTGTGACCTCGAGCAAGTCACCTCCTCTCCCTTTGATTTGTTTCCTTTGAAATGAGACAGTTGGGCTAAATATGTGAAAGGCAGCTGTGGTGGAGTGTAAAAGGAATGGGGTTTGCAGTCAGGGACATGAGTTAAAATCATGATTCTGTTCCTTCCCCTGGTCGCCTGGAGCAGCAAGTCTGCCTCCCTGGTCCCCAGTTCCGAATCTGTAAATTTGACATTATCACTCCGGTACCTTCCTACACTAATGATTTTAAAGCCGGGAATGTCACCCAATGATCTTGGCCAGCAGGGAGGGGAGGTAGGAGGGGAAGGGAGGGGAGCGGAAGGTAAAGGCGGGGAGGGGATGTCGGCTGTTCTGCGTCCCCAGCAGACAAGCGGGTAGCCCTCCCGTTCACCCTCAGTCCCTAAGAAGAGAGATCCCCGGTGCGAAGCAGGATGGCGTGAGGACTATGAGATCAGAGAAAAAGAGGCTGGGGTCGTGGACGACCCCAAGTCCCCAGCGCTCAGGGGTCGCGGGCGCGGCCCGCTCGGCGTCCTCACCTGCTGTGCTGCCGCCGGCCCGGCCCCGTTCAGCAGCGGTGTGCTCTCCCCATGCAGCTCCGTGAGCGGCGGCTGCGGCCTCCGAGGCACCGTGGCCTCCGCCTCGTCGTGGTCGCGCCCCGACCATGACACCTTTTTGGAGACGTTGGCCATGCCGGGGCTGAAATCAGCGGCCCCGAAGCGGCCCAGGGAAGCTGACGGCCAGCAGAGCCGGGAAACAGGGACCTACTCCAGCAGCTGTTTGTTCACATGACCCGGCAGGGTTAAAGCATCCCGTGACTGCTCTACGGTGGCCGATGTGAGAACAAGCAGCAGAGGCTGCAGAGCCTTCTGGGAGTTGTAGTTCAAGTACAGGCACACCTTTTCTTCCCTCTAGACCCAGGTGACTGCGCAATCCTAGAAGCCTCTTTGAGGAGTGGGTGCCGTGATCTCTATCCCCTGACTCCACGAAGGAGAGTCGCAGATAGTCCTGACACCGTTGCGGTCTGAGACGTAGAGACCCTTCAAAGACTGGAGTACAGGACAGGGTCGTGTGGAGTGAATTCACAGACTCAAGCATTCTTTCAGTCAAGTTGGCAAAGATTTATTGTTATGCTATATAATGGGCAAGGATTCTTTTTTTTAAAATTAATTTATTTTAATTTATCAACACTCACTTCCATAAGCTTTTGAGTTTTAAATTTTTCTCTTCCTCCCTCCCCACCTCCCTTCCCAAGACAGTGCCCAATCTGATATGGGCTATACATATACATTTCTATTAAACATATTTTCACATTAGTGATGTTGTACGGAAGAATTTATCACCAATAGAGGAACCACAAGAAAGAAAAAACAAAACACAAGAGAAGAAAAAAATAGCAAATAGTATGCTTCAATCTACATTCAAACTCCATAGTTCTTTCTTTGGATGTGGATAGCATTTTCCATCAAGAACCTCTGGAGATGTCTTAGATTCTTGCATTGCTGAGAAGGGTTAAGTTTATCAATATTAGTCATTGCACAACATTCCTGTTACTATGTACAATATTTTCCTGCTTCTGCTCATTTCACTCAGCATCAGTTCATACAAGTCTTTCCAGGCTTTTCTGAAGTCTGCCTGTTCATCATTTCTTATAGCACAATAGCATTCCATTACATTCATATACCACAACTTGTTCAGCCATTCCCCAACTGATGGGCATCCCCTCAATTTCCAATTCTCTGCCACCACAAAAAGAGCTGCTATAAATATTTTTGTACATGTGGGCCCTTTTCCCATCTGTATGATCTCTTTGGGATACAGATAGGCAAGGATTCTTAAGGAACCTGAGAGAGACCAAGGATGGAGTTGGGGTTTATATGGAAAAGGGCATGGGAAAGGAATAACAGGGATACGAATTAGGTAATCTAAAGGTCCAGGTGTCTTTGGGAGCCATGGATGGGAAAGTGTAGGGAGTATACCAGACAGGAAGGGAGATGTCAGAGGATCTTGGGAATCTGGCAGGAGGAAGAGTCCCTGGGCCCACCAGGGACAAAAACTCCTTGGACTAGACAAGACAGTCCTCTCTTCTCTGTCCTGATTAGCAACAAGGAAAAGTTTTCTCAAAAGACAGGAGCTTACTAAGGAATTAGGAGGCTTCCAGAGACATGATCTTAGGGCTGGGGGCAGCCCAGCACTCTCTCACACAGCTTTGTGTAACTGCACCAGGAACAGAGATGAGTGTTTTGCTGAGGCTCACTCATGAGTGATTGCTGGGGACAGCGTACTTGGGCTGGGGGAAAACTGCCAAGGATTGTGTTTCTGAGGCCAGGGAGAAATTGGGGTCCAAGCACAGGCATTCAAGCTCCCCATCAACACAATGTACAGATGGAAGAAAGCACTTAGGGCAGGTCACTCCCTTTTAAAGATCCACAAAGTCAGTTGCTCTGCCTGTCGATTTGTCATCTTGAAGTCTGAGCCTTTTGGTGCTGATCCCCACATGCCTCCAGAAGCTGTCATTGGAGTTCAGATACAGTCTCTAGGATGGCCCCCATAGGCCCATTCCTCTTGTGTTCCATGGGCTGCAACCCTTGCTGTATATGTACACATAGATTTTTTTTGAACAGTACCATGATTTCATTTAGCGTAGGGATTCCCTATATAGGGACCAATGTAGATGGATACTGTTTCTCAGGTAAATACACAGATAACACCATTTGCTGGGCAGGAGAACACAGAAGGGCTCCTAACACTAACAGATGTTCTAGCACAGGTTTGCTTTTGATCTGGTCAGACAGGAAAACAGCTTCAGGGGGGTTAAGTAAGTTTACTTTATTCTAATCTAGTCTTCTCAAAAGGAGTTGCTGATAATGGGAGCACCAACTCCTACAGCATTCCCTAATCATGCTTCTCACAGGTGCAGGCAAGAATAGGAGAATAACTCCTCATACCCTAAGCCTCAATGGAGACTGATTGAGGCAAATACAGATTCCTCCCAAGCCTTGATGGGGGCCAATCAAGACAGGTCACGTATTCCTCTACACATTACCCAAATCCTAAAACGGATTTCCCACTCACTGACCAGTACCCACTTGCTTTATAGGGAGACAGACAAAGAAGGCACATTGCCAACAATAGCCTCACAGGTTAATTTTAGCAATATTGTCACGACCTAGCACAGCACAGGCATATATTATGTCACCCCTATAGCTCACTGAGCAAGCGTGGTGGTGATGTTTTCAACCATAATTCATGGGAAATATTATCTAGGATCCTGGAATTATTATCTAAAAAGAGCAACAAAATCCTCCTTGCACACATTAAAATTCACCTTTATTACAGATACCTTCTCTGAAACTTAAGAGTCTTACAGAGTTCCTGGGGGCACTAGGAAAGTGAAGTGACTCTCCCAGAGTCAGTAGGCCATTATACATCAGGGTCAGCACTGAAGCACTGAAGCTATCTTTTCCTGATTCAGAGGTCAGCTCTCTATTCTACCAAAGCCTTTCAGAAGTAACTACACCATTTAACTATATACAATCTTGCATTATTGTGTATGATTAAATGAAATTAATGTATGTAAAGTGCTTTGTGAGAACTCAAAGTGCTATTTAAAATGCCAGCTATTATTATTCATACAAAATATATCTTGTTTTTGTCACTAGACTGCAAGATCCTACAAGGTAGAAACCATGTGTTTTCTATCTCCTTCACCACCTAGCGCATAGTAGGGGCTCAATAAGTACTTGCTAAATTAATGAACAGGGAGGCATTTTTTAAAAAAAATTATTATTTATTTTTAACATTTACTTTCTAAAATCTTGAGTTCCAAATTCTCTCCCTCCCTTCTATCCCTCCCCCACACATTGAACAATGTGATATCAATAATATATGTGAAACCATGCAAAACATTTCCATATTAGCTATGTTGCAAAAAGAAGAGCAAGAAAAATAAAGTGAAAAAATTATGCTTCAATCTACCCTCACAGTTCATCAGTTCTGGAGGTGCATGGCATTTTTCATCACAGTTCCTTCAGAATTCTCTTGATCGTTGTGTTGATCAGAGTAGCTAAGTATTTCACAGCAGATTATCATTACAATATTGTTATTGTGTAAAACATTATCCCAGTTCTGCTCACTTCACTTTTCATCAGTTTATATAAGTCTTTCCAGGTTTTTCTGAAACCGTCCTGCTCATCATTTCTTATAGCATCATAGTTTTCTATCACAATCATATACCATAACTTGTTTAGCCATTGATTGGCATTGATGGGCATCCCTTCAATTTCCTATTCTTTTTTTTTTTTTTGGCAAGGCAATTAGAGTTAAGCGACTTGCCCAGGATCACACAGCTAATAAGTGTCAAATGTATGAGGCTGGATTTGAACTCAGGTCTTCCTGAATTCAGGGCTGGTGCTCTATCCACTGTGCCACCTAGCTGCCCTGATTATCAAGTCTTATTGCACCACTTAGCTGCCCCAATTTCCCATTCTTTGCCCCTGCCCAAAAAAAGAGCTGCTATAGATATTTTTGTACAAATAGGTCCTTTTCCTTTCTCTTTGTTCTCTTTGGGATACAGACCTAATAGTGGTATTGCTAGATCAAAGGGTATGCACAGTTTTATAGCTATTTGGGCATAGTTTCAAATTGTTCTCCAGAATGGTTGGACCAGTTCACTCTACCAGCAGTACATTAATGTCCCAATTTTTCCATATCCCCTCCAGCATTTGTCATTTTTAGGGAGTCATTTTTAAACTGAGGTCACAAATATGCTCTATGGACTCTCAGAAATATGAATTCTTTTCTTCTGGGTTTTGATTTAAAATACTTGCCAAGCATTTAGGGCGACAAACAAAAGAACCAAGAACTGAAAGCCAATATTCCAAGGTAGAATAAATAAAAGATCTCATAAGCATTGTTCTGCTTTTAGTTAAAAATAAAAAACTTCATTAACTGTATGCTGAGTTCAAATGACTATTTGGAAAGGCTGGCATATTCTATGGTAGTAGGAATAGCAAAAATTTGTTTTGGAATACAGAAAGTCAATCAGTAAATGCTTTTGGAGAGGCTGTTTACGTACCAAGATTCCAACACCAAGGCCGGTTTCTAGGAAGAGCAATGTACAAAATCTAACTCTGTCATGCTCATGAGATGTCTAATTCAGTTGTGAATTTCTTCTAAGCTTCATCTATTGAGCAATATTGCAAATCCAAGAGAATATAATAGTTTGGAACTGACGCTGTCCATCATAAGTGGAACATTCTACCCTCTCTCTTCGGTCCCTTGGAATTTGAACTTCCTTCAAAACTCAGTCTAAGTGTCACCTCCTAGAGAGGGCCTTTCCTGATTCCCAGATGTTAGCTCTTTTTCCCAGCCTCCTCAAAAAATGACTCTATGTATTTCACCTTTACTTATCCTTGTACGTGCTTCCCTTTGGTAGAATGTAAGCTCATTGAAGATAGACACTGTTTCATTTTGGTCTGTGTAGCCTTACAGCTTAGTACACAGTAGGCAATTAATAAAATGTTTGTTGAATTGAATTCATGACTTTGCCCCTTCCCCTCAGTGAAAGTTACTCCTTGGAAATGGATGATCTGTTTATATTTCCAAAAAGATAGGTCCAGAAATTCAGAGTGATGGTGTGAACAATAAGTCTTTTTATTCAGGTCTTCTTTGAAGAAGGTCTTTGCCTCCTTTGAAATAGATGGTAAAATTCAAGAAAATTATGTTAGGATGGTTGAGGATTCCTCAGTGTGTGAATGTTATTTTTTGGGTCTTGTCTTCAGTTCAGTTGTTTTTCAGTC